AGAGCTAAGGGCACCAGCTCTTCAACATATGACTTCAGATGCCCCAGAAAAGTTGTAATTTGTTCAAATTACCACTACTGTGATTATACAGGATACCTCAAGGGAGAAAACATTTCCCTAGGGGCAGAGTAGATATGATTCCAGGGTCCAGGAAAGCCATCCCACTGGTCTTCAAAGAGCTTCGAAATGCTCTGACAAACCACCAAAAGCATATTTTGAAAACTTGCTTTAATCTCAGGATTTCCATCTCTGAATATATATATTTTATATATATGTATTTTTTTTTAATTTGAGACAGAGTCTTGCTCTATTGCCCAGGCTGGAGTTCAGTGGTGTGATCTCAGCTCACTGCAACCTCCGCCTTCTGGGTTCAAGTGATTCTCCTACCACAGCCTCCCAAGTAGATGGGATTATAGGTGCCTGCCACCATGCCCAGCTAGTTTTTGTATTTTTAGTAGAGACGAGATTTTACCATGTTGGACAGACTGGTCTCAAACTGCTGACTTCAAGCAATCCACCCACCTCAGCCTCCCAAAGTGCTGGGATTATAGGCATGAACCACTGCACCCAGCCTGAATGTATATTTTTTCATGTCTGTATATTCATATACACACACCTAATTAAAGAATTGCTGTAAGTCACGTACATGCTAAGAATGAATGAGTTTATGTGAAGAAAGGGAGAGGTCAGGAGGGTCAAGGGTCTCTGCCTCCTCCCCATCTTACCTGGGGCTGCTTGGGCACCTCCCTTTTTAAGGCCTTCTATTTTGATAGTCTTAATAATTTAAGGTAAAAGTCACCAACAAATTCCTGGTTTCAAAGATGACCTCACCTGCCCTGCAGCCCTTCCCCTGAGGGAGTTCCTTCTCTCCATCCAATGATGGTCATAGGATCACCAGCAGCTGGCCAGGAAAGGAAGTTGGCTCTCAGATTCAGTTTCTGCAGGTTAGCCTCAGCCCCCAGAGTCAAGCAGCCCTGAGGAGGGGCCACTCAGATGACTGAGGCAGTTGAAGAGGTGGCCTGGTCCTTGTTCTTAAGTTTCCCCTGCAGAAAGTGAGGCCCCGGCATGGAGAAGGGCTTATCTTGGGCTTCCTCTCAGCCAGTGACGCTTTCTCAGCTGCACTGTCTCCATGGCGTCCTGTCCTCTGCCCTGTTCTTACCTCTCCTTGGTGTTGCCATCCCCCGGCTCTCTTATCAAAGCCACTTTTGAAGCAAGAACAGAGAAAGTCCAAGGGAGACAGCTCCTTCAGTCATCTTGACAACACCTCCGCAGAGCCACCCACCGTGTGAGGACAAGCTGCTTGGATGAGTCCCGGTTACCGTGGCTACCGTCAGCCTCAGGGACAGGGAGGGAAATACTAAAGAAAGAATGGAAAGGGGAGACTCATAACCTGTCTCAGCAACATCCGTGAGCACAATCCCAATACTCATGGACTCAGTGGATAGTCAATGAAACACACATACTGTTGCTTGAGGACTAACACTGATCCTTCCTTTTGACAGGCAAGGACACACAGCCATCATGGAACCCAAACCTCAGAAGAGTCCAGGTACTCGAGGGGTATCATCTCAGAAGCAGAAATCTTTTTATTGAAAATGCCCCACAGTTCACTTCAAGCTAACCAGGATACAGAACTTGGTGGTTTTATGTGCATGTTTTGCTTTGTTTTGTTTTGAGACAGAGTCTTGTTCTGTTGCCTAGGCTGGAGTACAATGGTGCGATCTCAGCTCACTGCAACCTCCCGGGCTCGAGCGATCCTCTAACCGCAGCCTCCTGAGTAGCTGGCACTATAGGCATATACCACCACACCTGCCTAATTTTTGTATTTTTAGTAGAGATGGGTTTTTTCCATGTTCGCCGGGCTGGTCTCAAACTCCTTGGCCTAAAGTGATCCACCCTCTTCAGCCTCCCAAAGTACTGCAATTACAGGTGTGAGCCACCACACCCAGCCCCAGAACTTAGTTTTAGTGGGGATAATGGGTGACATTCTGTGACAATGATTCTTGGTTTGGTGAGTGTAGCAGGAACTTTTGGATTCAGTTGATTATTATATAAGAGTTCACCTGTCTAGAAGTTTAGCATTTTCTGATTCTCATGAGCCAAATTTTCCATTCATTGCCAAAGATGATGTTAATAGCAAACTACGGACCAGCAAAGACTCGAAAATATTTTCTTAATTTTACATGAAACTCGCACTTCAAGAAGCTGCCTGCATTGTCACCAGGGCTTATTATGAGGGAAGCTCAATGTATGGCATTCAAATATCCTTGCTCATATTCATACAATTCTTTGTAGGTGAGTGGATAGAAAAGCTGAGTTTAGGATGAAGTCACTTAGAAGATAAATTATCCAAATTCAACTCAAAAATATTTACAAAGCACCTATTACTAGTAAGTCTCTGTGCTTTATGTACCAGGGGATATACAGATTAATAAATAAGAGTCATTGCCCTCAAAGAGTTTTGAAATCTTATCAGTAGGAGGCTGAGATGGACAGATAACTTGAGGTCAGGAGTTCGAGACCAGCCTAGCCAACATGGTGAATCCCGGTCTCTACTAAAAATAAAAATTCATTGGGTGTGGTGGTGTGCCCCTGTAATCCCAGCAAATCAAGAGACTGAGGCAGAAGAATTGCTTGAACCCAGGAGGCAGAGGTTGCCGTGAACCAAGATTGCACCATTGCAATCCAGCCTGGGCAACAGAGCGAGACTCTGTCTCAAAAAAAATAAAATAAAATCTTGTTGGGAACTTAAACATATGCGAGTCACTGTGCTGGGAAATTAAGATTAGGCTGTGACGGAAATCATGAGATGAAAGTACATATACTAAGGAGTCTGAAGAAGAAAAAGCATATAAGTAATAATGAGAATCCAGTGAAGTTTTGTAGGGAAGGCATTTGAGCTAGACTCTATAGGAGAAGCAGGGATTTAAAAGAAATCAGAAAAGAAGGCACATCCCAGCAGAAGGAATGGCATGACCAATGCAATGAAATGGTGTAGAAGCAGAATGTGTCAGAGCAGAATATGCTTATAAGGTAGGACACGGGATAATAGAGGATGAGGCTGCGGAAAGGTGGTGCCATATTGTGCCAGACCTTGACCGTATGTGACAGGTAACTGTTGAAGCCTTTTGAGTATGAAAGTGGCATGGTCAGATTTGCATTTTAGGTTGGTCATATTTTTAATATCTTTACTATAGTTTATTATAATTGTCATACAATAAACTATATATAAAGTATACAATTTGTTCAAGTTTTGATATGAGACATATACAGGCATATGCCAGAGATATTTCATGTTCATTTCCATGTCACTACAATCAATGAAACATCACAATAAAGTTAGTCACACGAATTTATTGGATTCCATAAAAGTTACATGTACACTACACTGCAGTCGAGTGTGTAATGCCATTACGTCTATGGAAACAATTTGCCTACCTTAATTAAAGATATTTTATTGCCAAAATTTGCTAACAGTCATCTGAGCCTTCAGTGAGTCATAATCTCTTTGCTGGCAGAGGGTCTTGCCTCAGTGTTGATGGCCGCTGAATAATCAGGTTATGGCTGTGGCAATTTCTTAAAATAAGACAACAATGAAGTTGACCAATCACATAGATGGATTTTACTTTCATGAAAAATTTCTCTGTAGCAAGTGATGCTGTTTGATAACATTTTACCCACAGTGGAACTTCTTTCAAAATTTGAATCAATCCTCTCAAACCCTGATACTGATTTATCAGCTGAGTTTATGTAATATTTTAAGGCCTTTATTGTGATTTCAAAAATAAACATAGAATGTTCACCAGCTGTAGATTCCATCTCAAGAAAACACTCTTTTCATACCCCGTAAGAAGCAGCTCCTTATCTGTTGAAGTTAGAACATAAGATTGCAGCAATTCAGTCACATCTTCAGAGTTCACTTCTAATTCTAGTTCTCTTGTTATTTTCACCACATCTGCAGTTACTTCCTCCACTGAAGGAAGTTTTGAACCCCTCAAAGTTATCGAGAAGTATTGGAATCCACTTCTTCCAGACTCCTGTTCATGCTGTTATTTTGACCTCCTCCTAGGCATCATGAATATTTCTAATGGCATCTAGAATGGTGACTCCTTTCCAGAAGGTTTTCAATTAACTTTGCCCAGAGCCATCAGGGAATCACTATCTATAACAGCTATGGCCTTATGAAATGCATTTCTTAAATAATAAGATTTAAGTTGAAATTGTTCCTTGATCCATGGGCTACTGAAGAGGTGTTGTGTTAGCAGGCATGTAAACCTCACTAATCTCCTTGTACATCTCCATCCGAGCTCTTGGGTGACCAGGTGTATTTTCAATGATCAGTAGTATTTTTAAAGGAATCTTTTTTTTCTAAGTCATAGGTCTCTGCAATGGGCTTAGAAATATTCAGTAAACCATGTTATAAACAGATATGCTGTCATCCAGGCTTTGTTGTTTTATTGATAGAGAACGGGGAGAATAGATTTAATATCATTCTTAAGGGCCTTAGGAATTCTTTTTTTTTTGAGACAGAGTCTTGCTCTGTCACCCAGGCTGGAGTGCAGTGGCACAATCTCGGCTCACTGCAACCTCTACCTCCTGGGTTCAAGCCATTCTCCTGTCTCAGCCTCCCAAGTAGCTGGGACTACAGCCTGGCACCACCATGCCCAGCTAATTTTTGTATTTTTGCAGAGACAGGGTTTTGCCATGTTCACCAAGCTGGTCTCAAACTCCTGATCTCAGGAGATCTACCTGCTCCAGCCTCCCAAAGTGCTGAGATTAGTTGTGAGCCACCATGCCCTTAAATATATTGTTTTACTTTTTCTTGTTTGCATTTTTTTTTCTGATGAGAAATCAATATCACTGTTTCTTGTCTTTGTTCTGTATGCAATAGGTCTTTTCTTCCTCTGGCTGCTTTTAAGATTTTTTTTTCTTTATCATTGGTTTTGAACAATTCAGTTATGACATGCGTGGATGTACTTTTCTTTGTGTATCTTTTTTTAGTGTTATTACTTCGAATACTTTTTATTTCTTACTCTCTCACTTCAGGGACTCCTATTACTTGTATACCAGGCTACTTGAAATTGTCCACAGTGTACTGGTGCTCTTTTTGAGTTTTCCAATTATTTTCTCACTGTTTATGTTGATAGTTACCGCTGCCATGCCTGTAAGTACACTAATCTTTTTTTCTACAACATTTAATCTGCTCCTACTACCATCCAGTCTTGTTATTGTTTTTCTGAGACATTGTAGTTTTCATCTCTAAAATTGCACTTTGGATCTTCTATCTTTTATATTTCTCCCTAACTTCTTAAAAATACAGTGATAATAACTGTTTTAATTGCTTTCTCTGCCAATTCTAACATCTGTGTCAGTTCTCGGCCTGTTTTGATTGATTGACTTTTCTCCTCATTATTGATCATGTTTTCCTCCTCTTTGTATGCCTGGTAATCTTGGCTGATTGCCAAATACCACAAATTTTACCTTGTTGGGTCCTGAGTATCTTTGTATTCCTATGAATCTTGAGCTTTGTTCTGGGATGCAGTCAAATTTTTTGGAAACCACTTTCTTCTAAGTCCTTTATGATTTGTTACTCGGGTTTGGAGCAGTGCTCAGTACAGAGCCAATAATTAGTGTAGAGCTAATTATTCTTCACACTGAGGCAAGACATTCCTGAGAACTCTATCCAATGCCCTGTAAATTATAAGTGTTTCTAGTCTGGCTGGAGGTAACAGGCACTTTTTCTGAATCTCTGATCTTTTTTAATGGTTCTTTCTCTGGCCTCAGTAGTTTCAGCACACATATGTGTTAATCAGCACTCTTGAATATTTGAGGGAGACAGTAGATGTTGCCCTTTGGCTTAGCAGACAAAAGTAAACCCACTCACTATTGAAAATGGAGTGGCAGAAGTGATTAAATAAAGAAGCTTCTAAAATGTTAGCTGCTTCCCTGTAAGTGATGAAATTACAGGCAGTTTTAATTGTTTCTATATTTTCTAAAATGTCTACAATAAATATGTATTACATTCATTATTTAGAAAAACACAATTAGTGTTGTTAAACACAATATTGTCATTTTTGTTTTCTTCATTTGGGATTTGTTTTTGTTTTTGTTTTAGCTTGGATTTGCCTTCACATACAGACTGTAGGTTTAGTTTGTCCTTAGTTTTGGAAAGGGCAGCCTTTACTAAGAAATTAGAGCTTCTTTATTAAGTGAAAACAGAGTCAGGATTTGGTAATACAACTGCTGGGGCTTTTAGGATAGTATCCAGTAATTCTAGGGAGGTGGCTGTGTTTACCTTCCCTCCCTTCCCAACTTCTTCAATAACTCCACCTGCTCCCCTTCCCCAAAGAGTTTTTGCCACAGCATTTTTAATAGCAGTGCTTTTGCTTTTGTTTGCTAGGCCAAAGGGCAATGCAGAATTATCATGCCTCTGTAATGGAAATAGAGCCAAATTTTGCTCACACGTAGACAGCCAAAGACATACTCTAGAAACAGAAAGCCAGACAGGTATGAGCCAAACTAACATGCTTTCAAATGTTGTTTGAATGAAGGTCTGGGCTGTGGAGAAATAAGAATCAGACATTTGGTCCTTTGTTTTCTTGGGTTATTATAAGTGTTCTTTTCCATAACTACTGAATAATCTGAAGGCCTTTCCGGAGATAAATAGTGTTTTCCAAATGAGGCAGTTCTTTTCAGAAATTTATGAGGAACAAACTGAGTTCTGTTCACTTTTGTTAGGCAAACAATTTACATTTTATTATGAAAATGAAGTCTGCAAACAAGATTACTTTATTAAATCACCACCTTCTCAGCTGTTCTTCTCTGTGGTGAGTATTTGCTATGATTAACAAGCCTCCCACCAGCCTCATGAGCATTTTTAAAAATTCCTTCTTTTCCTCTGAGATTTAACTGAGACATAAAATCTTTTTATTTTTCAGACCTCTTGGAAAAAGCGGTTTTTTATCCTGTCAAAGAGTGGGGAAAAGAGCTTTAGTCTTTCCTATTATAAAGACCATATTCAGCGAGGTGCCATTGAAATTGATCAGTGTGTATCGAACAAGAAACTTTTATAACAACAAATACTATAAAGTCAAACAGTGATAAGTTGCATGCAAATTGAAATTTACATAATCGACCAAAGGAACCAAAGGCTTCAAGCTTGTTATAATATTTGTGATTGAATAGCAGCTAAAATAGTGAGCACTTTGAGTAAAAGATAGTTGAGTATTTGTTTCATAATGTATGTTGTATTTGGTAAGTCTTTAATAGGCATTCAGTTAAGGAGTTTGATTCAAGTAATTTGTGGATGAGAGGGAGCAGATGAAATTATCATTTTATAAAGTCAAGATAGATTTTTAAAAAATATTTAGATCAGCTTTTTTTTTGGCCTTCTCTTTAAAATATGTACCCCAAAATTGAAAAAGATGACTCGTGCAATCAAGAATTCAACCAAAATAGAAATTTTTGAATCTCAGGCTAAACAAAATAATTTTAACTATTAATTAACCAGATCAAAAATCCAAGCTTACCTTCTACAATTATTGGGCAATCTTCAAAACGTGGATCAAGTACATCTAAAGTTTTATTCCATTTGAATCCCAATATAAAATATGTCAGTTTTCTATTTCTGTATTTATCTTGGTTTAATACTTTGTGTCTGTATCTAATAGAAATTCGAGTGTAGAAGTTGGCATAAGTAGCCAGGAAAAGATGCAATCTGTGCAGAAGATGTTTAAATGCCACCCTGAAGAGGTCATGTCCATCAGAACCACTAACAGGGAATATTTCCTCATTGGCTATGACAGGTGAGAGAAGTAAGATAACACAGAGCATCTACCTCATGCAAAACAAAAACAAGCCAGAAAGAAAACATTTTATCCCCATGAACATGTTCTGAACCCATGCTCCAGCCTTGTACGCCATCTTGGCAATCTCCGTTATTTGATAAAATATCTTGAAAAGTTACTGAGCTAGTTTCCTAGGGCTGCTGTAACCACATCCTGGGTATCTTGGAGCAACAGAAATTTACTGTCTCGTTGTTCTAGGGATGAGGAGTCCGAAATCAAAGTATTGGTAGAGCCATGCTCTCTCTGAAGACACTAGGGAAGGATCTGTTCCAGGGGTCTCTCCTAACTGTTGGTAGTTCTCTTGGCTTGTGGCAACAAAACTCCAGTCTTCACATGGTGTTATTCCTATATGCCTAGCTCTGTGTCCAAATTTCCCCTTTTTATAAGAACACCAGTGATAATTGGATTCGGAGCCCACTCTATATCAGGACATCCTCATCTTGACTAATTACATCTGCAATGACCCTCTTTCCAAATAAGGTCACATTCTGAGGTATTGGGATATGGAACTGAAACACACAAACTGGATGGGGAGGGTGCATTTCAACCAATAACAATCACCATCACCCCAGAGGCATTCCATGTAAAAGAACCCAATACACAAACATCTACACAAGCAAGCTGCGTATATTAGGTAGGAACTAGGCTTGCCCTCTAAGAAGCATGCAGTTTTTAAGAGGGGCTTCTAGTCCTAGCAAAGGTGCCTAGTGGACTCTTCATGGATGATTATCTTCTTGAGGTAGAGGCAAAGCTGGTGTGGGGGAGACTGTGCAGAGGAGGGGGACAATGCCAAAACCAACATATGAAAACCCTGATCTGCTTCAAATTGAGCAAAGCTTTACGTTGTCCTGTGAGCCCATAAAAAAAGATGTGACTATACAAATTCATTCAAGCACATTCTTCATCAATGCATGCGCTTCCTAAGGGAAGGCATACCTGCAGAGTTACACAAAAATGGCACTGACAGGTTAGGGGGCTTGCTTGAGAACACAGAGGATATCAGTGTCAAAGCCGAAAGCCCCAAAACCTGTGATTACTACCATTATTTTCTACTTTTCTTCCCTTTCTCTGAGCTTTCCTTGCAGAGGTGGCTGAACATTAATTTTAGTGTGCAAATGTGGAGGTGGTGAAGCCATTTAAGCTACTTAGGAAAAATCCTTATTTTGCTGGTACCTGCTTTCACTGCCATTCTAACCTGCATAAAAGAATCCTTCCCTGGTTCAAAAGGAGTGCAGGCACTATTGTTGCCACATGTCAGCTGAAAGTTTATTCCTATCAACAGGGAGAAGATTAAAGACTGGGTCTCCATCATGTCATCATTATGCCGGGATATAAAAGCAACACATCAGAACACAGAGGTGACTCCACATCACTAATAATATAACAGGGCACCTGAACACAACCCTCTTTCAACAGAAAACAATGGTAGCTGTCTTCTGCCTCCTTAGCAACTGGCATTAATGCAAGGAATAAATAAGTGAGAAAATGTACATCCTTATTACTTTTTATGATTAACAATAGGAAAAAAATTCTTTTGTGTTTTGCGAGAGAGCTGAAATACAGACACTTCGGATTTTTATTATTGTGGTAGAGAGAGGAAAAGTTAACTGTGGCATTTTTAAGTAGTAGCTTAGAATACAGTATTTTTTGCATCGTTGTTATTCAAAGTGCATAACAAGCTTCCTTCTGAATGACTAAGTCTAGGGCAGTTTCTATAAAAATGTTTTTCATCTATCTTGCATTTTTAATAGAATATCTCTTTCATGTGAGTGGTTAGTAGTTTCAAGGTTTTAATTTATTTCATAAGGGCCTCTAGTAATGTCCCCAAGTCCTTTTTCAGGGTGGACCTTTATAGATGGAACTTTGGCCCCTCGGTATCTTCTGTGACATGTTTTCTAGGTTGTTCCATGCTTACGGCAAAAGCCAAAGAAAAGGAGAAATCAAGGCATGTCTTCAAGTAGATGGAAATGATTAGAGAAAAGGGAACTGGGGCAGAGGGCGTCAGAAAGAGACAGTCGAGAAGATAGGTTGAGGGCAACGCTGGTCATCTTTGAGGGTCAGGCTAAATGTCCTCAAGGGTTTGGAGACAGGAGAGAGACAAGTTCAGCTCTCATCTTGGTGAGATAATGCTGGCAGGCCAGCCGCAGGAATGTTAGATCGCTGTGGGGAAAGACAGGAGGCAAGGAGCCCATTTCTAGAGTTAAAATTTATTTCAGACAGAGATCAACTGTGCCCTGACTGATTCCTTTTCTGTGAGCAGGAGGAACTCTCACCGGGTAATAAAAGAACTCTCTTCTACCCCAGCCTTCTCCTTGGCCCTTCCAGCACATCAGAGCCTATTGGCTCCAGCTCGCCAAGAAACGGTCTCCAAGATGTGGTAATGGGGTTCACTTCTTTCTCAGGACACCACACCTGGGAGTCAGCTAATGCTTCAGAATCTTACCAATTAGCAATTGCATTTAACCATGCCCACCTTCCTCAAAGCCTGATGTACTATAAGAATGATTCTTAGCCCTGATGTTTATCCCATATCACAGATGAGCCTCATGGCTTGCCCTGAATACCTCTCAATGTATTCATCCATTTTGGATGCTCTTTATATGCTTTGGGTATGGCTAGGGTAAGATCCCTTTGCTAAACCAAAACCTGGCTGGCAACTTCTTCCTTTCTTTCACACAGAGGGCACAGATCCCTCTGCCAAAAGATTTCCCGACCACCACCTGATTTCTGCCCATTCTGTCTGTACTCCTCAGGCAAAGGCCAAGTTTCTTGTTAATTTCCTCCCTTTACCCTGATCAATCTTCAATCTTGCTTCCCATTCATTATAGCTGTCTATCACTTCATCCTCATTTTTAATGAAATCCATTTTTGAGGACCTAAAATATAATGTACCTGCTTCTTGAAAGTGACTCATAATTGGACCTTCAGCTTTTTTGGATTTGTAATGTTCCCAGCTTGGGATATGAGTCATAAACATGCCAAGTGGTTTCATCTCTGTCATGGATACTATTTTGTTCCTTAGAGACTTAGCCATTGACTTTGCCCTGTCCATGTATTACCAAGCCCATCTAATGAGTCCCATCCCTTATGTTATCTAGTTGGTAACTCTCCAACTATTTTGAAAGCTTTTCATAGCATATCAAGTTCACCATGCCAAACACCTCCCCTCAGTTCTTCCTTTAGTGAGTAGAAATGGTGGTATGCAGCAGTTAGGAAGCCTCACTCTTTTCAGTATGTACCTGTTGCTTTCCACTCATGATATCTCCTTCCCCCCAGAGATAACATTATTGGTCATTTTGCCTTTTCACACTATAGATCCAGTAATTTTTAAACCAGCTCAAGTTAAGAGTACTATTTGCCTTGCTTGGTGGTGGTGTTGCTGTTGGTTAAATTAAGTGGGGAATCTTCCTTTACCCCCAGCTCACCATGATCTGGCTCCATGAACTTGGATCTTAAAATGTGGACAGAACTTAAACATACCTAATTTTTTAAAACGTGCCTTCTTTCTAGAGAACATTCAGGGTCTTTTCCAAACTCCCTGCTCTGAGGCATTGTTCTTGGAATTTTTCTGCCACGCAAAGAAGGTACTTTAGTAGAATATTATATATCTGTGGGGAAGGGAAGACAATAGTGGTTGAATCTAGATCATCTGGAAGCCTATAATTCACACTATCACATGATCAACACAGCCAAATTACATTGCTATGGAAATGGTGGAAGTGTGTGAGCAGAATGCAAAAGAAAAATATGGAGCAGGAGAGAAGGCGCAACGCCATGACTCTGGGTTAACTACATTCTCAGATGGCATTGGATGATAACAGGAAAAATGTGAGGATGGGGACTCCAGAGTTTAGTGACTTAGAAAATCACCCACAGAAGGAAACCACTTGTTCTGAGTGACTGTTCCAAGAGGTAGAGAAAAAAAGCCTGAGTGACGGGCTTATATTTTTTCATCCTCAGTGTTGACCCAGACTCAAGAGGCAAGTTTGACTTGTGTGAGCTTTCAGATATAACCCTGGAAGACCCTGTGGTCTTTTTTAACCCAACTAATTTATTATGGCTTTTCCAGAATGCATGTGATTTAATTCCATCTCTTGCAAAGAAAAAGCAAAGCATTTTTGTCTCTTTTCTTCAGCATTTAATGGAAAAAAGTTCTCCAGGACTTAGGCAAGCTCATCTGCAAGATTTGTCATCAGAAACCACTCAAGATATGGAGGAAGAGAGTCATTATCTTACTCCTCGAAGTGTTCTTTTAGAGGTAACCCCTTCTTGTCCATTCATCATTTGATCCTTTAACAAATACTTACTGAACTCCTGCCATGCACTTTTTGTGCAACACTAGGCGAGGGTCAGTGGGAACACAGAGATAAATCAAATACAGATGATGAGCTCATGGCGCTGACAGACACTTGACTAGGAGCCAGTGGTAATACAAGAGAGAAGGGTTCTATGCTAAAGAGAGATGCTTATAAAATACCAGGGGTGCACCAGCATTGGGAAGAGGAGATGACTTTCAAACAAAAAAATCAGGAAAATTTCAGGGATGAGATGACATTTGACTATACATTATGAGTACAATTTGGACGTGGGGGATTGACTTGAGGAGTCTTTCTGTTCTGCATTCTTAGCAGAAAGAATAATGTGAGCCAAGGTCCTTGGGTGATCAGTTGTGTGCTGTGTATCGATCAGTCTATGGATCAGTTGGAAGTCCTTACTGAATGCCTTCTGAGCAGTTGTCACTGTACTGTACAGGGCATGGTGGCTAAACTAATGCTCCTGACATCACCTTGCCTTCACAGAGCACACAGTCTTGTCAGTTATCACAGGATAATTCTGCACAAAAGACATGGTCAACATGCTCCAAAAGCAATAGGAAAAGGACAGATTTTTTTTCTCTCTACTAGAGGCAAGGAAGGCTTCCAGGATGACACGTCATTTGATGTGTGTATGGGGAATAGCTCAGTGGGCTAGAGTGCATGGAAGGCATAGTGGGAGATGAACAGAAGAAAAGAGCCAGCCCAAGATGGGTCTTGAATTCCAAGTTGACTTCATTCTGTAGACAGCATAGGGGAAGCGATGGCTTCTGAGTTGGGAAGTGTCAAAACCCGAATTATCCTCCATTACTGTAACATATATAATTATCGTCCATTACTATAATATACTATAACCCAGCAGCTATATCTGCCATAGGCTGCAGAGGGAAGAGAATGGAAGTGGAAGATAAGAAGACAGAATGGAGGGTGGGAATGCTGTATCATTTCCCAAACTGGGGGTTTTTTGTAAGATGGTGACATATGTTTATATAAAAGAAACATTCTAGGTCAAATAAGTTCTGGAAACACCCAGTTAAAATAAGTTAAACAAGCTTCTTAGCAGAATTCCCAGAGCATTTAGTATGCAGTGGTACATTGTAAATGGTCAAGTCAGATACAACACATGGCATTTCCCAATCTCATTTGAGCACAGAGTTCTTCTTTCACCAAAGTATTTTCATATTTGTGTTTCCTGGGATGCAGTCTTTTATGATAGCCAACCAATCAGATGTGTATTGAGCATCTGTTATAGGCCTGGCATTTGCTAGGTACTTTATGACAGCCAAAGTCTAGTAAAGCAAACAAAACTAACCTAAAAAGACCAAAAAAAAAAAAAAAGTACAAAATTATACAATGGAGATTGAGAGAAAGGAGAACTCTGCAGTAGCTGAGATGATCAGAGGGGGCTGTGGGACTCCACCCAGGCCTGAACACGATTTCAATAGGCAGAAAGGAAAGGTGACACTCTAGGTGAGGAAGACAGCATAAACATGGGGATGGAAGAGCACCATTTGCAGGGGGCCAGTGGGAAGACTGGCTTGATTGGAAGGAAGGTTTTGCTCATAGGTTAACGATGAACTTAGGTAGGCCTTAGGGTTTTTGAGCAATCATTGCCACAAGTGACTCTCTTGTTCTAAGGGGGCTATTGAGAGCCTTCTAAAGGCAGTATTTTTCTAGACCATTGTAGTGTCCCTGAAGCCACTTGGGCTGCCTGTGAGCATAGTAGCCTGAGACCAGCTTCACACTGTGTCAAAGTGCCATAATTCTATCCAACCAAGTGCCATAATTCTATAGTAGAACTGACTGGGGGAAAGCTTTCATGTTCTTAAGTGCCTAATGGTGAAACAAAAAGGTAAATAGCAATTTAGTTCAATAGAAATAACACTTGTGTCGGGAGCCTGAGGGATCCAGGAGAAGAAATTGACTTTGAGTCTGCCAGAAGCTTTGCTGATTCAGTCTCGTGGAGGTAAGGTTGGTTGATTATTTCCCAAATGTGAACCATGTTCATCCACTGGAAGGTGTACATACTACATCAGAGCTCAGAGCTATAAACACTAGAAATAAGAAGGTACCTGACTTATTGGTAAAATAGGATTCTTACATGTACTCCTCTTATCTACAGTTGGATAATGTCATTGCTTCCAGTGATTCTGGTGAATGCATTGAAACTGATGGTCCAGACCAGGTCTCTGGAAGAATCGAGGGTCATTATATGTCAATGAAATCCTGGTAAGTAAAAGTGCCATTTAAAAATTTGATTTTTTTTCATCTGCTGTTATGGGACAGTGACCATCAGTTCATTTTAATAGTTCATAAACTGATGCAAAACATGACCACAGCCCAGATTCCACATGTCATTCAGGCATCTGAACACACAAAAACGAGGGAGTCATTTCTCCACCCACTGAAAACCACTGGTGACAACCTCAGGACCTTTTCCATCTCCCAAGGAAGTTATTTTCTACTTTGTGTTTATGTCTCTCATACTCTCACTTCTGTCCTTTAATCCCTGTAAAGAGTAATTTTGATTCCATATCCATTTTTAGAAGGAAGGTTTGTTGGATTTGATTCTAACTGTGGCTGTGATTCTGATAGTTGGACATACTTCAAGACCTTGTTAGTCTTCACATGTCTGTTAGTGACTTAAATCTGACACACACAGGGGAACACTGCAGAAACACATGCTAAAATTGGGTTTGTTTTAACTTCTTATACTCTAGTTTTTTCAAAGAGACACCCCGTGAGTCTGTGGATAGCAGCAAAGAGGAACCCCAGACCCTTCCAGAGACCCAGGATGGGAGCCTCCACCTGCAAGAACAAGGCTCAGGGGTTGATTCGTGTCTTCCCCCTGCCAATACGGAAGCACAGAACACAAATGGCAAAAAGGGGTCGGCCTCACTAACTATTGTGCAATTGTCTATACTCATCAAGTAAAGCTCTAATTTCTAAAACTTTATGGGCCCTAAGAGCAAGGCAGGCTCCCTCTCACTATTTTTTACTTAGAATTAAAATTTAAAGCTGTTCCTAAAAATCTCCAAGTCAGCCAAGAACCTGACCATCTTCTCCCTGTCACTGATATTGTGGCCAAGGAAAGGGAATGATAGAGCTGGGCTGGAGTAAAGTGGTCCCCGGGGCTGGGGTGGCATTTTCAGCTATTTTTAAAAATTATCCCTTGGCTAGTCTTTCAGGTCCCAGGACTTGGGATCCACGTGGATCTGAGTAGTCTGTCACTCAGTTTTTACATGAGTATAATTATAGGCATGCAAGTTGCATGAGGCTTCGTTATAGATCAGGAATGGGTTATTTAGGACTTAAGTGATACCAAGAGCATTTGGTACAATAGTTGTAATTTTAACTCTTTGCCATAACTTCTACGGAATCATTTCCAGACTGGCCTGGTGTGGATGGTTATATAACCAATTGAGTCCATTTTTGCCTCCATTCCTGTAACCTACCATCCACTACCACATCCCAAGAGGATTTTTCAGTAAATTTATATTATTCTTCAAATGTTTTGGACAGCCTTTACCTGGACAATATCATCTCAGAAATAGAGGCCACAAATGTGCTCAGAAAGTACAGCTGAGAGCCAGGGCCAGGTGCCTGATGTGACTTTTACAAATGTCTTGTTCGTAGTAACATCCCTGATGAAAGCCAAGTGGAGGAACTGAACATTTTCCTTTCTCCTCCTGATGTCATAAACTATCTTGCTCTCACTGAAGCCGCAGGACGGATATGGTAGGTTGGAGATTTGACTGTTGTGGATTATAAATGGGGCTGGAAGCTATAAAAGGAACAATGACATTTTGAAACACTGTATTTGGCAACCCTGACTGTTGTCTTGCTGTTGTAACAAAAAAGTCTTAGATTGTGGCAGAAATCAGGGTATTGTGTAAGAAAGTTAGCCGAGGGTTGAGGGAGAGGAGTAACAGGACCCAAAAGTTCAGGAAGCAACACATTTCTGACTTCTCAAAGGGAGGAAGAATGGGCAGGGATACATAGGGCCCAAGGACATCATTTCCAATCACAGTACAATGAGGATTTGATGAATGAGTGAAATTAGCAAAGTCAACAAGAATCAAAGGTCTAGGCTGGGCATGGTGGCTCATACCTCTAATTCCAGCACTTTGGGAGGCTGAGGCGGGGAGATCACCAGGCAGGAGATTGAGACCATCCTGGCCAACATGGTGAAACCCCGTCTCCACTAAAAATTTAAAAAAATTTAGCTGGGTCTGGTGGTGCGCACCTGTAATCCCAGCTACTCAGGAAGCAGAGGCAAGAGAATCTCTTGAACCCGAGAGGTGGAGATTGCAGCAAGCCAGGATCGCACCATTGCACTCCAGCCTGGGCAAGAGAGTAAGACTGTCTCAAAAAAGAAAAGAATAGAAGATCTGTAAGAAGAAAATATATCAGGTTCTAAGACTTCCAGATAAGAGGTAAAAAAAAAAAACAAAAAAAAAACCCTGCTACTCACAGACACAAAAGACTGTGTGGCAGAGAATTTTCTTAGAGTAATCTCTGCCTGTTTGATATGGCATTTTTTTTTACAGACTTTGTAATTTATTTTGATGGAAGATTACATCTTTATAAGGGAAGAAAGCTCTTTAATGTAAACACTACACATTAGTTGTCTTATAAGTTCTAAGAAGAGAGGAACCACATTTACTATTTTTCCAAATATTCCACAATCTAAGGCTCAATAAACACCTGACCGAAACTGTGGACTCCTCTGTAACTGAATTGCTTCATTCTTTAATTCATTTATTTGTTCATTAGCTATTCATTGTGTAATCATTATGTCCTTACTTCCAACAAATCCTGAGCACTCTTTCTTTACCTGGAACCATGGGGTTTTAAAAATTTAAAAACAAACAACAAAAAGGTGTCATCATACTTCTGGGGTCATGTAGCCTGGTGAAAAAAGACAGCCACACAAACAAGTAAATGTAAAATGCATTTTATTTAAAAATGTAACAAATCAGGTGTCACACAATGTAATAGAAGTCCAGGGTAGGGGAGATGAATTATAGCAGAGGAATGGAATCTAGGACTTTATGGGGCTTTGTAAGGGCAATGTAATTTGAGCTGGGCTTTGGAGGAAGGGTTAGGCTCCTATACTAGTGACAGAGGAAACAATATTCCAAACAGGAGATAGTCTACTTCAGAGGTGGTGCCACGTGACCTAGAGTCAGGAGACCCTGTAGACTCCACGCGTGCCCTGCCTTCTTGGCAAGCTCAGCCTCACACTGGTGTTGGATGTTGTATTCCCACTGCAGTGTGGCTCAGTGGGAAGGCCCCCCACGTCTGGGATGCATATTTTGCCACGGAGATCATCTTTTGGCGGTGAATGGCCTGAAGCCCCAGAGCCTGGAGGAGGTCTCCTTGTTTCTCGCCCGGTCCATCCAGAAGGAGGTGAGTCGTACTGACCAGCCCTAAACAGGGCAAATCAGTACCAGATGGAACAAGATCAAAGTCTTAGACAGAGTCTGAAAACTACCCTGAATACTAATAAGGCTCCCCCTTCTTCCACCAAGTGCAAATAACAGAATGCTCCTTCAGAACTCTTTTAGGATTCTTTCATATCAAGTAGCATTTGGAGAAGGCACTGGGCTAAGAGACAGAGCACCTGGGTTCAGGACTTCAGATCAGCACGAGGTGGCATGAAATCAGATGGGTGCAGGGTCCAAATGAGCTCCTTCAACCAATTTGTGCGGTGTTCTTTTCTGTAAAATTATGGCTAATGATGGTGCTGGTTGTGGGAAAATTAAATGAGATAATATGTGTAACGTGCTTACAAAGGTGACTGGCACATATTAGGTGCTTGATAAAGTTACTAGTTACTTTTACTTCTACTACAACTAACCGTGGAATGTTATACAAGCCCATTTTTTAAAGCCTCAGTTTCCTCATCTCAGAAACTGTCATAGCCGTAGCTTCCTCATAGAGTATTGTAAGAATTAAACATAATGTTTGGTGCTGGGCATGGTGGCTCACATTTGCAATCCCAGCACTTCAGAAGGCCAAGGCAGGAGGATCACTTGAGCCTAGGAGTTCAGGGTTACAATGAGCTATGGTTGCACCACTGCACTCCAGCCTGGGAGACAGAGCAAGACCCTGTCTCAAAGAAAAACAACAAAAAACAAACCATAATATATGGGTATGCACTGAGTATGTTACGTTTTTTCAAGGACTAGCTATTGTCCTGAATATCACTACGATCTTCATGATGTTAATTCCTTCCCTGGTCTACTTTTATTTCTAACTAGCCTTATGACCTTGGGAAATTCACTGCCTTCTCTGGACTTCAGCTTATTCTCACTAAAGTAAAAGGCTGGTTTTCAAACTGTGCTTCTTGCATCCCTGGGATGGAGGTGAAAGGAGAGGGGAGGAAGGAGAGAGTATGCTGGGTCTTCAACTGGAGAAGCTCACGTTTATCTTTTATGAAAAAAGATTAGTCCAATCTTTCCTGTAAGCTTTCCTTAAGAAACAGTTCCTTGTCTTCAGATTTCTGAAAACTATTGTATTAGATGATTTCCAAATTTCTTCCAGCTCTGGGAATTTTTTGATTATGTAGGATATCTATGTTAAGAATATGTCTTATCTCTTCTGCACTACGTAATAATCCCTTTGGTCATACGAATTGTGCTATCCCTATTACTCATTACCCTAAATGAGTAATCCCAGTGAGGATGAGTGAGTGAGTTGTCTAAGATACACAACTAGTTAGTGGCAGAGCAAGCACACATTCATTCACTTTCTATTTATTGAGCATCTACTGGGTGCTGGATACTGTGCTAAATTTAAGAGCTACAAAAATGGCCTCAGCCTGAGTTTAAGAAGCTGACAGAAAAGTGGATGAAGCAGGCATGTTACATGCCACTTACAATAGTGTGCGTGCCCTGAGATATGAACACAGGGCCTTAGGATCACACAGGTAGAATGGAGTAAACCTATATGAAGGAGGTCGGGATGGTGTCTCAAAGAAAGTAGTGTTTGGCTTGGGTTTTGAAGACTGGATGGGAGTTTGCATGGTGGAAAAGAAGTAGATTTCAGGGCCACAGTCCAACAATCTGGTAACTATAGTACATTTTCTCTGCTGAAGATCCACACAGGGGCCAAGTGGTCAACAGAAGCTTCTGAACTTTTCTGAAAATTACCAAACACTACTCTGACCCAAAGATCCAGGCATTAATTCAGAAGCCAAGAAGAGTTTTTGCCTGTGAGCAGATCCAGGAGCTGTGCCTGGGTGTTGCTGGCTGCAGTTTATCCTGACTGCCTTTCTAGACTGCGGACTCATTGCATGAGAAGGGGGCAACTGCATTTCTCTTGTGCTGGTTCTGCCTCCCCTTTCTAATTGATAACAACCCCTAGATGCTACAGAAAAATATTCAGTATCCATCTTCACGATTATCTGGAAGATCAGAAAATTCCCTTACTTCCCACTGCCACCATTCCTGACTTATTTGTGTTCATGGATATCCACCGCTCTTTTAAAATTCAAACACATGGTCCCTGGAAGGACAAAGAATATTGGAAAAGGGAGATGTGGAACCAAAGAAAGAACAGCCATTGGCCCTCGATGTTTGAAAGTGCCCAAGCCAATCCATTTACTCTCCTCCCTGTTACTGCTACAGATGAGGGAATTGGCGGTTGGGGTGGTAACAGGGCAGGGACAGGGAGGGAAGAGAACTGAGATTTTAAAAGGAAGGGGAGAAGGTGTGTACAGGGGAAGGACCTGATAGGTGGAGAAACTGATCAAGGAGAAACTGATCAAGTTTCAATTTTCTACCAGTCTTGTCTGGATGAGTCCCGTCTGGTGGTTGCATTTTGATTCACTTGTTTCAAGAAGCCTTTTTAATTCTTGGTGCCTTTGGGCCCCTTAGAGCACCGTCAATGCTCCCTGGATCCTTCCTTAAAAGTTCAGGCCCATGGACACCAGAAAATAAAAATCCACCTTCCACCCAAGCAGCCAAGTAAGTCATCCCTGTCTTCTTCTGGCCCAGATATTACAGTTCACCACAGGACTGTCTTCAAAACCAGCTCTAAAGGGTATGAATGAGGACAGATTGGGAAGCAAGAATCTTAAAGATAATCTGTAGTCATTTAACTTTCTTTTTTCTTGTATTTTAGAAAATAAAGCTTACTATCGGCAGGATCCCAAATTCAGAGAAATTCCATGCTGCATCCTGTACATGTTCCTTAAAATGCCAAAGTGCTGCACCTTCTCAACTGGATAAGCCTGGAGTGGCGAGGGCACCAAAGAGGAGTCCCGCCATTAAAAAGAACCAGCAGAAAGGAGCCGGGGAGTAACACATCCCAGAGTGGCAGAACAGGATGGAGCCGGGACTGTCTGACTCCGCCACGCACTGCTGCCTGTAATAGGAGATGGTCTGCACGCCCCTCTGAATTTCTGCATCTGCATCTTAACCATGGGGGTGACTACCCCTCTCTGGCTATTGCATCAGAGATGTTGAGAGGGTCACATGGATGACTGGAGAACCCAAGTGAAATGGAAGCCCTTATTATCTCAGCTATTGTCCCAGACACCACAGACACAGATTGAATCAGTCCCTCATGTAATACATCCTGCGTTCTGTGAGGATGTGGTCCACAGAATTCCTTCTTTGTTAAGGGATATACAGTTCCCAAGGCAAGATTCCCAAGGGAGATGTGATACCTGATCAGACTTCCCAAACACCTGCCTCTCATCAACCCCACAGGCCAGAGTGCTGAGACAGAGTGGCCTTTTGGATTCAATAAGTATCTCTTGTTCTCATAAAGACTTAGCAACTATTTTAGAGTCATAGCAGTTTGGGTCATATGCAGCCAATATCAGCTTGCTCTATAAGCAATAACAGAGCTACTTAGCACTTCAAGGTTGAAAGTTCTTTCTTAATAATGGATGCATTGATTAATTGATCCTGGAAGGGCAAAGGAATAAAATCTTTTTTTTTTTTTTTTTTTTTTTTTTGAGACAGAGCTTCACTCCGTCACCCAGGCTAGAGTGCAGTGGCAAGATCTCAGCTTACTGCAACCTCTGCCGTGCAAGCGATTCTCCTGCCTCAGCCTCCTGAGTAGCTGGGATTACAGGTGCCTGTCACCATGCCTGCATAACTTTTGTAGTTTTAGTAGAGATGGGGTTTCACCATCTTGGCCAGGCTGGTCTTGAACTCCTGATCTCATTATCCACCTGCCTCGGCCTCCCAAAGAGCTGGGATTGCAGGAGTGAGCCATCCCACCCAGCCTGGCCAATAAAATTCTTTTTTACAAATAGGAAAACAAAGGCAGAGAGCTAAATCACTAATCAAATCAGGGAGTGATAGAGCAAAAGCAGGCTTCAGAAAGCATATTTTACCATGCTGTTGTTTCATGTGGAAGAAACCAAGGCCTGGCGTGATGAAAGGGGTACCTTCTTTGTTTCTCCAAGTTTCATAACCGTTCAGTTGCAGAACCAAGAATCTAAAACCAGCTCTGGGAAACAAATGTCCTGATGCCAGCCTTGTATTTGGACTTGGATTTGAAAATACCTTCAGCACTTAGAAGAGACATTCAAATACATTTCATTTCTGTTACCCAGATTGTTTGGAAAGTATTAAAATTTTTTTCATTTACATGTTGATATGGTTTGGATCGGCATCCTTTCCAAATCCATGTTGAGTTGTAGGCCCCAGGGTTGGAGGAGGGGCCGGGTGGGAGGTGGTTGAATCATGGGATTGTGGGGGTGGATTTCTCATGAATGATTTAGCATCATCCCCTTGGTGCTATTCTCATGACAGTGAGTAAGTTCTCGTGAGATCTGGCTGTTTAAAAGTGTGCAGCACCTCCTCCCTCACTCTCTTCCTTCTGCTCCTGCCACGTAAGACACCTGCTCCTTCTGCCATAAGTAAAAGCTTCCTGAGGCCTCCCCAGAAGCAGATGATGCCATGCTTCCTGTACAGCCTGCAGAACTGTGAGCCAATTAAACCTCTTTTCTTATAAATTACTCAGTTTTGGGTATTTCTTTATTTAACGTGAGAATGAATTCATACGCATCCCGTTTTGGATCTACTGTTTCTACTTCGATAAATGTATCCTACAGAAATACACAAAGATAGATGTAAAAAAAATAGTTTACTGCAGCATTGTTTGTAATAATAAAAAATCAGGCCGGGCACTGTGGCTCACACCTGTAATCCCAGCACTTCGGGAGGCCAAAGTAGGTGGATCACCTGAGGTTGGGAGTTCGAGACCAGCCTGACCAACATGGAGAAACCCTATCTCTACTAAAAATACAAAAAATAGCTGGGCATGGTGACACATGCCTGTAATCCCAGCTACTCGGGAGGCTGAGGCAGGAGAATTGCTTGAACCAGGGAGGTGGTGGTTGTGGTGAGTCGAGATCGTGCCATCACACTCCAGCCTGGGCAATAACTCCATCTCAAAAAATAAAAATCATTTGGGGATTGCTTAAGTCTGATTTCATTTCATTGAACACTGCAGATGGTAAACGGTTCAGCACGCACAGTTATATAAAATTGTTCTTGGTATGTTAAGAATGAAAGAATCAAGTTGTACAATAAGAATAACATCATCCCACTTTTGTAAAAATAGATGTTTGGCGTTTGCGTATGTATATGTGTGTATCAGATTTCTTCAACCCTCGCTAGGTGAGAGGTCCGGGCCTCCTAGGGCTATTGCGAGGTTTCCTTATAAGCACATTGCCTGATCAGGAGGAAACACTCCACAGGTGTGTGCTGTGCCATTGTTGCTCTACGTGCTTTTTTAAAAAAATTAAAGCTTAGAATCAAATGTTTAGTAAGAATTATCTCTGAGAAATATAATCAGGGTTGACCATGGGAAGAGAGGCATTTCTGTAATGTTTGAAGTTTTGTTTTTTTCTTTTAGTATTTTTTGTTTGCAATGAGCATATGTCACTTTCATAATAAAAGAATACAACTGTGGGAATATATATAAATATATATATATATGTGTGTGTGTGTGTGTGTGTGTGTCCAGACTGGAGTGCAGTGGCATGATCTCAGCTCATTGCAACCTCCACCTCCTGGGTTCAAATGACTTTCCTGCTTCAGTAGCTGGAATTACAGGCGCCCACCATCACACCTGGCTAATTTTTTTTGTATTTTTAGTAGAGATAGGGTTTTGCCATGTTGGCAAAATTGTGGGCCTTCTCCTTTCAAAACTGCCTGGGTGTGTCCTCCACGTTCTGCTGCCTCTCGGAGGACTCACGTGTCTCTCCACGGGACCCCAGGGACAGTGCTCCCCAATGAATGTTCCCTGTTCCACCTGCAGTCAGATCCTCTTCAGGGAAGGTGGCTGTTAGAATGCAGATTCCAGGGCCCCACCCCAGATCTACAGAATCAGAATCTGTAGATCCAGAGTTCAAGCTGGTCTTGAACTCCTGACCTCAAACAATCTGCCAGCCTTGGCCTCCCAAAGTGCTAGGATTACAGGCCAGCCACCATGCCTGGCCATATGCACATATTTTTTAAACCTTCAGAAGTAAGAAGCCAAGCCACTGCAAAGAAAGAAATAAAAAAAAAAACCTCTAGATAAAACCGCATGGCAACCAACAGCGTGGGTGGATACACTTCTTTGATACCCAAAGATCCTTCCCCGGGTCTGCTCAGAGGCTACACTACAACGCCAAGATAAGCTAAACAGAGGTGGGTGCACAAACCTTACCCACCCGTCTATCCACCCCCTCAATGAGGTAAAGAGCAGGGGGAGGCCTCAGGGGTTGAATCACCGACACGGCTCAAGGAAGCACTGGGCTCAGAACACAGAACTCCTGGCTCCCAATCACACGTGCTTCCCAGCCCACCACGGGGAGACCAGCCAGCCTGCTCTTGGCCCTCTCTGAATCTCAAAACTTTCCTCCTCCCACAGAAGGGCCAGCTGGGGTCCTCGTCATGAGGATCCTGCCCTGGGGGCTTCTCTCACATAAGGGGTTTATTCCCAAGGGAAATCTCAGGGCAGATGCCAAGCTTCCCCCAACTGAAAGATTCTGATTCTGTAGATCCAGGGTGGGGCCCTGGAATCTGCATTCTAACAGCCACCTTCCCGGAAGAGGAACTGACTGCAGGTGGAACAGGGAACATACACTGGGGAGCATCGTCCCTGGGGTCCCATGGAGAGGCGTGTGAGTCCTCTGAGAAGCAGCAGAACGTGGAGGACACATCCAGGCATTTTTGAAAGGAGAAGGTCCACAGTTTCTAATAGTTCTGAAAGAGGTAAAAGATTATCACCACCTCCCCCACTCCAAAAAGGCCTGATTCCCGAAGGGAGAAGCCTGGCTTTCACTCCTTGTTATCTGCTACTTGGGGACAGACACAGCCAGTGCCTGGAGGAGCCGGGCACTGCGACATGCCGTTGTGCCGCTGAGGTGAAGAGAGGAGCCCACAGCTTAGCTTCAGCAAAGCCACTTCTGCTTGCTGCTTCTCAGGGCCAGGTTTCACTCCTCTGTGCCTTCCCTTTCCTAGGGCTGGGGTCCACATGTCCCCAGGGGTCCACTGAGGCTCTTTCTTCTAACAATGGGAGTGGCCCCAACAGAAGCTCATGACCAAACTGGCCCCAAAGCCCAGTCATCAAGCCATTTGTCTCAGACCTGAGCTTTTAGGGCCCTCTTCTGCTGCATGGCTAAGAAAAGGAAGGTATAGGACAGGCCGCTGGGAGATGCGGATGGTTCCCAGGCCAGGGCTAGAAAAACACTTGTGCCTCATAGATATGTAATTCTGCCAGAGCTAGGAGGATGGGATAGACTCTCCTGACAGGCTGCCCACAGCCATGTCCACACCCACCCTCAGTGCCTTTTGCCACTTGTGATCTTTTCGCTTCCAGAGCTGACTTTGGTATTTGTCCCAAACCAGTTGTAGGTGGTGAATGTGGGACGGGGGACTGCAGACTGATCAGCCCAGCTGTCCTGCCAGGGATGGCTCTGTCTGGCAGATTTCTAGAGGAAAGGAGGTCATGAGAATGGACTGGAGCAATTCTTGGCCATCACATCCGTGGCTCAAATCTGGTGCAGCCGTTCAGTCTTTCTGGGGAAGAAACCAGAGCCTACACACGTGGAGATATTGACCTGGGCCTCCCCGGCTCCATGCCATGCCTCCACCTCCCAGGCCAACACCTTTCCTGCACTCGCACTTCTCAGCAGGGCATTTGGAGGCACCATCTCTCCAGCCTACTGTCCCTTCCAAATGGTCACCTTATGCCTCCAGAGCAGGCCACAGAGGGAGTCTATATGTTTCCACTTTGTCCTCTTGGCTGAGGATGCAAACCCTTCAGAGTGAAGTCCTAAAAATAGCTGGTATGGTATGGAATGAATGCACGGGGCCAAATACATGCATCCTTACTTGAAGCTGTCAACATGTGAGTGTAGACTCCAGGAAGGCATTCTTCTCTACCTAGAGAATGAAGCATGGTACATTCAATATATGTACCTCAGTGTGTGTGCATATGTTGAGGAGGAGTGGAGAGGACAGGTGGAGAATCATAGTAATTCTTTAATAAGCTAAGATGATGGTGCACCACGATCCCCCCACCTCTATCCCAATTGTCTCCAGAGCTTGTGCCAAGTGACTCTCCCTAGAGATGATAAGAGGAATTTAAAGTATCATAAACAGGCCCGAAGGGAGAGAATGTTCAGATTCAGCTGGATTAGCTCAGAGTTCTTCAGTGAAGTTGAACTTTGTGGACATGCAAGATATGTGTTTTATTGAAAAAGCTCTTTAAAATGTCTGAGTTAATGAAATCTTTGCCTAATGATTAAGAATCTGGTAGGATTTGGTGGCCATTCTCCAAATCAACTCTGGCTAGACAGTTCTAGAAAACTAAGGGGGGCTTAAGGGACGCTTGCAGTCACAGCACTGGACTCTGGAGCTGTGCTGCCCAATACAATAGCTGCTAGATTCATGTGGCCATTTAACAGCAACTAATGCAAATTAAATAAAATTTAAAATTCAGTTTC